CGTGTTCCTAAAAGTCGAATACACTGCTTTTCTATATCCCTCTCCATCTTCGGTAAAGGAATTTTTCTTCTCTCTTTATTCTGCATCTTATGAAGAGCAAAGTATTAAATTCAACTCTTTAAGTCCTTCGTCATGATAGAATAGAAACAGTCATGACATTGTTCTCCTTTGCTTGTCTCAGACAGCTGGTTTTGTTTGTTTTTGTTGCTGCTGTTGTTTTTAATGAGCAACGTCCTTCCATCCTTCCAGATCTTTTCTCACACAGCTTCTTGTCTCCATATGCTCTACCTTGGTCCTCCTCGCTAATAAGGGGCTTGTTCCAGTTCACCTTGTTGCCCTGCATTCTGTAAAGCCAGTGTCTTCCCACTCGACCCTGGGTGAGTGGTCCCACATGAGTTTTCTTATACTTTTGTTACAGTGGTTATCACTCTCAATTACTAACATATATAATTGGATGGCTGGTCCCACACAATGTCCACTTCATAAGGCAAAAGATGTCACATGCCGTTATTTGACATCTCAGTACGTAACACCATCTTAACAAATAATACGTGATTTATGTACGCTTTTTTGAAATAACTGAGCCATTGTTATAGGGATCTGTAGGAAAGAAAAAAACATTCAGTGTCTCGTGCTGTTGGAATTGTTAAGCTTCAAAGGGGGTTTACAGCACATGATTTGAAATTTATTCGCTTCTTATCTTTTTCCAAATAGAAGCAGCTGCCCCTTAACTTTAAGACAGAAACTCGGTCTGAAGAGCAGCGCTTGCCTGTTTCTGCAGATGTCTTCAAGGAGAGCGTGTGTGGGGGCAGCTGCCCTGAGGGTGAAAATTAAAGCTTGGCCTGCTTCACTTCTTACTGTGTTCATGAGGAATCATCTAAGTAAATTTTGTCTCACCAAATAATGATCTCATCTACTTTGCTAATAAATACCACCTTTTCCTTAACAGCCCACTTTCAGAGAATGACTAACTCACAAAGCGGCCAGGGATTAGGGGGCACAGCCCTTCTTCCTTTCTTCAGACTACCAGCTGCAAATTATCTGGAGGAGAAACTTAACCAGGCAGCCCAAACCCCCTTCTTCAGCTCCCTGATGACTTAAAAGGTGCTATTCAAACAGGTCTGGCTGAATTTTCCTTTGAATCAGCAAGTGTAGACTAACTCATTGTATGCGAATGCTGGTACAGACTTGCGTTTTCCCTGCAAACACTGCATGTGATGAGGGGGTGGGCTCATCCCAGAGACATGGCCTTCTGGACAGCTGGGAGCCATGCTGCACTTTGGTCAAGTCTCTCACTGCAGGGGTCTGGACAGAGTAGCTACACGCTGAGAATTCTGCAGTTCTCACCAACACAATACCTACTTAGTAGACACTCAGTAAACTCTTGTTAAATGATTGAATGAACTGCGAGTCCCTCAAAGAGCTTGCTCAGATCACACACAGTTGAGAAAAGAACGTTTGGTATAACACAGTCCCCCAAGGCTTGTCAAGCACCTTACTCCTTCTACTGCCAGCACTGCTAACTCATTTCATTATTATTACACTTGACAGGGAAGAAGAGTGACATATTTAACATGATACGCTAAACAAAGTGGGTTTCAGGCCCACCTCTAGTTACTTTATTATTTCAATGTACTATTTCCTACCACACCCA